CCTGCTTTGCAAGCACAAAGTCCTGAGTTCAAATCCCAGTCCCACCAAAAAACAAAAACAACTAAGCATAGATCAGTCAGAACAACAATAAATAAAAACAAATGCTACCGTGAAATCACTCCTTGGGAAACAAATGTCATTTATAATGTCACCAAATAAACATCTGGGATACAAGACAGAATTTCACTTAATCTAGTTCACTCTGTTGCTAACGTGGTAAGGTTGTGTTTGGAACACTTTCTGGGTTAGGAGCTGCTAAGGTCAATACCTTTGAAAATTCTAGGTCAGTGATGAATGCTTCCCTAATTTTATGTAATTACATGTTCCCTTTGAGACAATAACTAGGAATTAAATGTTTAAAATGGGAGTTAAGAAACAAATAATGGAAGGTAAAACCATATTCTCCTTGTTGCTATCTGACTAGACATATAATTAACAGCGCCAACAATGGAATAAAAACCTCATCTTGGCCAGTCATGGTGGCTCACGCCTGTAATCCCAACACTTGGGAAGCTGAAGCAGGAGGATCACAAGTTTGAGGCCAGCCTGGGCTACAGAGCAAGACCCTGTCTGGAAAAACTAAACAAAATACCTCATCTTCTATTTTATTTTAATTTCTAGCACATTTTAGAAAGATGCAAAAAAAATCTGCTAATAACTACCTATACCTCCCAGAAATACTCTTCTATGTGACAATATTTGCAAGGGGCATTTTTTATTCCTTACAATTGTTACAAAGACCACCTGTTGGCACTGTGCACTGCCTTCCTTAGAATAAGATGAAGCAATCAGATCAGATGTACTTCTCGAGCAAAATGCAGAGCAGAAATGCCTGGGGCCCCACACCTAAAGGAAAAGCCCTCATCAAAACTCCAGCTGCTTTTCTGTTAAGGTAAAAATAACGGGGACTGAAATGCAGGTCAATTCAATGAAGCTGGGTGCTGGTAGCTCACGCCTGTCATTCCAGCTACCTGGGAGGCTGAGATCAGGAGGATGGTGGTTGGAGGCCAGCCCACTCAAATAGTTCACGAGACCCTATCTCCAAGGTAACCAGAGCAAAATGAACTGAAGGTGTGGCTCAAGCAGTAGAGCACATGCTTTGCAAGTGGGAAGCCCTGAGTTCAAATCCTGGTCCCACCAAAAAAAAAAAAGGAGAAAGGAAAAGAGAGTCAATGGTAACAGGTGCAATGAGGCATCACAGCCACACACACTGGAGAACTACAGAGAGCTGGGCGCCCGGGGAGGGCTGAGGAGGTAACACGTGTGCACAGCTGAGCACAGGGGCACCGCGCAGTAAGCACTTGCTGTCAGGGTGACAAGTGGCTGGCCTGGAGGATGCTCCATCCTTGATCCTGGTTGGCAGAATGCCCATGCTTGCGCCAGAAAGCAGGAGTCAGAGCCAAAAAAGGAGACAAGAGTTGGGCATGGTGGTACACACCTGTAATCCCAGCACTTAGGAGGCTGCGGCAGGGGAATTGTGAGCTTGAGGCCAGCCTGGGTTACATAGTGAGCACTTGTCTCAAAAAAGAAGAGGAAGGAGGGAGAAAAAAAGATGAAGGAGGAGAGGAAGAAGAAAAAGAGGAGGAAGAGGAGAAGAAGACATAGCCAGGAGTCTGAGTTGCTATAATCGTAGCAACTCAGGAGGCAGAGATAAGGAGGATTGTAGCTTGAGGCCAGCCCTGACAAATAGTTCATGAGACCCTATCTCAAAAATACCCAATACTCAAAAGGGCTGGAGGAGTGGCTCCAATGGTAGAGCACCTGCCTAGCAAGCATGGGGCCCTGAGTTCAAATCCCAGCATCACCAAAAAGAAAAAGAAAAAAAAAAGACGAAGAAGACGACACAGTGTCATCCAGCTGAAGTGCTTAGAGGCCCATGGAGGAGGAGACCCAAGCATTCTCCAGAAAGTAAAACCTTCTCTGCAGAGGCACTGGCTCGTCCCCATTTGGACACAGCCTGTGAGCTGTGTACTGCTGGGCGAGTCACTAAAGCTCATTCAGTGAGCTCCCTGGCTCACCTCACCTGGCACTGAATGAGAGCACGCGGCTGTGTGAGGATCAGGACTTATTCACTGCACCTGGGTGAGCTGGCCAGTCATCGCCCCTCCTTGGAATCAAGAAATATCCAAAAATGAAACTTCAGCACCGGGCTGTCCTCCCCACCCCAGCCCTGCCTGGTCCCCACCACTTTACCAGCAAGCAGGAGAGTTTTCTTAGCTACCCAGGGATCGTGTGCACTTGAGATTACCTTCAAACGCTCACCGTCTATCCGGAATGACTTGAATAAAAGAAGACGGGACACCTTTTCTTCTCATGAAAATAAAAACGCGTGAGGCCGGGTTTTATCCCCCCCCCGCCCCCGATTCTAGGCGCTCCTGTCACTGTGGGGCCCTGTGCCCATAAGCATTACCTTGTCCTCTAGAGTTTAGGAGCGCGGGGTAATTATAGGCGGGAACTGAAGGGTGAGCCAGGATTAGGACAAAGCTGAGACCTGCAGACTTGCACATCCAACTTCACATTTTCTGGGCCAATTTTATCAAAATTGACATTGAAAACTCTAGAATGCTTCATGGTACTCAGTCTCCACAGAAGAACTGACTTTTGTCAGGTGACAGTGGCTCATACCTGGAATCCTAGCTACTTGGGAGACTGAGAGCAGAAGCTTCGTGGTTCAAGCACAGCCCGGGGAAAGAGTTTGCAAGACCCCATCTCAACAGAAAAATGCTGGGTGTGATAGCGTATGTCTGTCCTCCCAGCTACGGCAGGAAATAAGAGAGTCATGACCTAAGCCAGCACGGGGAAAAGGAGTGAGACATTATCGCCAACAGCCAGAGCAAAAACGGGCTGGAAGCATGGCTCAAGTGGTAGAGCGCCCACCTTGCAAGCCAGAGGCCTCGAGTTCAAACCCCAGTACTGGGGGAAGAAAAAAGAGCTGACTTTTGAGAGTCCCTTATGCAAGAGACCTGAGTCAGCCAGGCACCAATGGCTCACACCTGTAGTCCCAGCTATCCAGGAGGCAGAGATCAGGAAGACTGAGGTTCGAAGCCAGCCCGGGCAAATAGTTCAAGAGACCCTATCTTGAACAACAAAAAAAAGAAAGGGCTGGCAGAATGGCCCCAGTGGTAAGAGCACCTGCCTAGCCCTGAGTTTGAACCTCAGTATCGCCAAATAAAATAAGATAAAAATCCTGAGTCTGCTACATATCATAGTCCCCTCCTATAATCCCAGCTACTCAGGAGGCAAGTGTAGGAAGATCATAGGGAAAAGTGAAAGACCCTATCTTAAAAACAAACTAAAGCAAAAAGGGCTGGGGACATGGCTCAAGTGAAAGAGTGCTTACCTAGCAAGCACAAATCCCTGAGTTAACATTCCAGTACCACGGGACACCAGTGGATCACATCTATAATCCTAGCTACTTAGGAAGCAGAAATCAGGAGGATCACAGTTTGAGGCCAGTCTGGCAAATAATCACCAAAACCTACCTCAAAAATACCCAACACAAAAAAGAGCTGGCAGAGTGGCTCAAGTGGTAGAGTGTCTATCTAACGAGTGTGAGGCCCTGAATTCAAGCACCAGGACTACCACCAAAACAAACAAACAAACAAACAAAAAACAATACCACCAGGAAAAGGCCTGACTCTAGAAGTCCTGGGTCAGAATCTCCCTCCACTGGCTACTGAGCTAGTGACCAGGTGACAAGCTAAATCTTCGTCTCAAACTTCAGAACTCCTCATTTGTATAATAAAACAATACTGGAAGCCACCTCACACTGCTGTGAGAATGAAATAAATGAGTGTAGCAAAATGGAGTGTGTGTTATTTCCCTGGCCTTCGAGCAAAAGAGTGACACAGAAACTCACTGAAGGTCCTTGTCATTGGTAAAATCTTTACACACCTGACACAATGATCTTAGCTTCTGAACCAAAAAGGATAAGAATTTGGCGGGGTGTGGAGTGGGGGGAGGGCAGCACTGGCTAGACACCCCAGAAATAAAAATACCATTTGGGAAAGGATCTCATTTTGCACAGACTCCTAAGTCTAAGGACAGTATTTATGGTGCTGAGTGAGCCAAGGGACACCAAGATGCCACATGAGAAAAACACATTAGGAACACATTTCTCTGCCGGGAATTAAAGATAGGCGGTGATGCCCCAGGTCCGAGTGGGAATCTTCACTTAACTTCAGAGGGGCTCCCAAGTTCTCAGTATCGTATGGACTAACCATCCTCTCAAAGCTGTGTCCCCAAAAGGCTAGGAATAAACCTGGCTGCAGTGACCTGAAGGGATACTGTTGGATGAGTGAAGTGAGCAAGGTGACCCAAGTTTCAGCAAACAGCAAGACAAAAATCCCGTGGTCTCAGACCAGCGTGGCCTCGCCTGGGAAACAAAGGGCACATAAGCCAGGCAACAGTGCCTCACGCCTGTAATCCTAACTACTTGGGAGGCTGAGATCAGGAAGATCGCAGTTCGAGGCCAGCCTGGGCAAACAGTTCACAAGACCTCATCTCCAAAACAGCCAGAGCAAAATAAACTGGAGGAGTGGCTCAAGCGGTAGAGCACCCGCTTTGTAAGTGCAAAGCCCTGAGTTCAAACCCCAGTCCCACCAAAAAAGAAAGTGGGAGGAGGAAAAGGTAGCTCTTCCCATGAGCGGATCCTAAGCACTGAGCACTGTCACTGTCCTGTCAATCCCTGACACAATAATCTTAGCTTCTAAACCAAAAAGAGCAAGGACTGTGGGGGTGGGGGGAGAGGCTGGCGCTGGCTAGACACCCCAGGCCCCACAACTACCAAGGCAGACTAAGGCTGTAGGTCACTCCTTTATTTCACCTCCCCACCAGCCAAGGTCACATCCAACCTTACTCAGAGGTCAAGGCCCCCAACCCTCGGCAGTTGGCTGGAGGCATCACTTCGCTCCTGCACTGGTGGCAGTGTCCCCCAATGGGGGACCATCAGGCAGCATCACCACTCCCCAACCTCAGGGGTCACCAGGGGAAGTCCTCACCTGTAGTAGGACAGCAGGCCGTTCCCGAGCACGAACCAGCGACGCTGGTAGCCCTTGAGGTAGTTGGTCCACTTAAGAAGCCAGCCCTTGTAGCTGTCCAGAGGTAGTGACGGCATGGGGACACTGGAGCTGGTGTTAGTCCCTGACACTGGGACACCAAGAGAAGTCCTCGCCTGTCCGGGATCGAAGAAAAGGCAGGGGATTTGGCACCGACCCGACCCGGGCTTGGCTTTAGGGAAAAGGACACACTTCCCACTATGGACCCCACAGGCCTGGGAGAGGGGCCCACCCCCTCCCCAGCTGCGACCCCATCCCTGTCCTGTCCAGCCTCTGCTTGGGGTTCACACCCGAGTTGTGGGACCCATAATAAGGAGACTTGGATCTCTCGGTCCGGACTCCCCGAAACTGTGGCTCCCGCACCTGTTCTGACAGCGGCTCCCGCTCCGGTGCCCACACTGGTTTGGGCTCCGGCCCAGAGCCGGACGTGGAAAAGCTCATGCCCGGCGTCGCTGTGTGGCAGGACAAGCAGGGGACAACGGTGAAGAGCGACGAGAGTCCTCGGGAGCGGCCACCGCAGCCCCCGCCTCGGCTCGGAGCGGCCGCTTTCCCCATAGAGCCCTCCCGCCGACGGGAGCGCGGCCGAGCGGGGAGTGGGGGCGGGGCGAGCGGGGGGGTAGGGGGCGGGGCCTGGGCGTCACGTGCTCTCAGCGCGAGGCGGGGGGCGCGCGCCACTCCCCCCGCTCGCCCCGCCCCGCGCCCGCTCGCCCCGCCCCGTCCTGCGCCCGCCCCGCCCGCCAGAGCCGTGGACCCCCACTTGGACACCTGTCACCTGCTTTGGTCTGGCCCTAGGCTTAAGGCGAGCGCCCTGGAAACACCTGTGGGCCGAAAGCTGAGCGAGAGGGTTGGCGACACGAAAGGGACCGTGCGCTTCAAGTCACTATCCCAACCCGTGCCAGGCGCTGGAGGAACAATGATGAATGATAAGGAGCAACTCGGTCCCGTCGGATCGGATCGGCCGGATGGGTTCCCTGACGCCCCCAACCCCAAACTCAACAAAGGAGGAAGGGACAGCAAGGGTGACACTAAAACCCCATCAAATGCTCCCAAAGTACTGGGTGGCGCTAAAAGCGGGGGATTTTCCACCCACCCCCATGTCAGCCATTATTATCTATTTCAGGCTCTTCCTCTGGAGACCCGGGGTGGTGACTTCAAGATGCCACCACCGCCTGCATCTCCCCCGCCACCCGGTCTCTGGTGTCTGCCAAGGTACTTCGGAGCAAGTAGCGACATCTTTCAAGTTCGCTGATGAAAAATAGGGTTTTGTACAACATGGGTTTTAGTACCAGGAAGATATCTGAAAGTGGATTTCTTTAACTTGGACCTCGGAAATGCCCAAGGGTAGGCTGGCGGGTCTGTGGTGCTTCCACAGTGGCCGAGGGAGGTTTCCCTGTGTGCATTTTGTGCATTTTTCTAGAAAGAAGTTCCACAGTTTTCATGAGATTCCCAAAGGAGACTGTGATACAGAAAGGTTCAACATCACTGATTATAAAGTATTTATCTGAAGAGGAAAAGAGAGTTGATGGCTACTATGAATGATCATAAATGGCTCATGCCTGTAATCCTAGCTACAAGAGAGGCTGAGATCAGGAAGATCGCTGTTGGAGGCCACCTGGAGCAAATAGTTCTTGAGACTCCATCTACAAAATAGCCAGAGTAAAATTGGCTCAAATGCCAGTTCCACAAAAAAGAAAAAAAAAAATTTGAAATGCATGTTGGGCTTCTGCCGGGCCCTTCCAGCTTACACCTCTCTAGGCTTGCCTTGGGTCATTCTTCAGCATCCACTCCTGATCTTTGCTTAATAGCAAGATAACCTGTGCAGGCACTGGTTTCTACATGAATGGTGTCTGCTAGAATGGAGCAGACCAAAGGACCTTGAATCAGAAGATGAGCAGGTGCTCAACAGGGGTCCCTGCTGTCTGACCCCCACTCAGGGCCACTTTCCTTAAATGGTAGTCTTACCTGGGCTCTGGAGTGCAGAAACCTGCCTGTCTCTGGCTATCCCATAAACACAGCAGTGCTCTTCAAACTTCAGGGGGCTGAGTGCCCCCCAAAAGTGATTGCCCCAGGGGCGCAGTGGGGTTCAGAACTGAGCAATTGGCAAATGGGGTAGAGTGTTTGCTTGTCTTCCTCTTAGACCCTTTGAGATTTAATGTTTTCCTGCATGTATGTTTCACCTATTCAAAAAAAAAAAACTGTTTAAAGCATACACCAGTGGTTCACGCCTGTAATCCTAGCTACTCAGGAGGCAGAGATGAGGAGGATTGCAGTTGGAAGCCAGTGTGGAGAAACAGTCCCCAAGACCCTATCTTGAAAAATACCCAACCCAAACTAAGGCTGGCAGAGTGGTGCAAGTGGTGGAGTGCCTACCTAGCAAACGTAAGGTCCTGAGTTCAAATCCCAGTACCACCAAAAAGAAAAAATCTGTTTGAAATCCATGAATCACGTTTTGATGGGCGGTGATGTGAAGGGCAAATCTTGGCTTTGGGGAGTCAGACTCAACTAAGGAAACCCAGGTTCAGCCACTCCCTGCTGTGGGAACTACAGCCTGGCTAGGAGTTTCCTTTTGCTCACCTGTATCATAAAGGGAATACCTGCTTCGGTGGCTGTAATAAAATCACGCACATAAATCACAGTGGGCATCACACACAAAGTGTCACCTTGTTATTTTACTAGAGTGCTCTGAGAAGCTTCTAAGAGCCAGAGCGGAGGGAGATGACAGCGGGGTTTACAAGCTTGGGAGGCCACGATTGGAAAAGCTACACACCCATTAGGAATTCCTCAGATGTGTTCGTAACTCTCAAGGAGGGAAACTGACTAATAAACAATCTTGAATGTGTTTTAACTTCAGCCATAAATCACCATGGTCCCCAAGATGACAGGGTGTAACTTACTAGTTATATCAGGGAGGGTGATGGAATCACAGAAGGTACATGATTTGCAGGGGGAGTCAGAGGGACAAGGAGGACATTTGAGACAAAGAAACCATAGTGCATTAAGTCCCAAATCAGGAGAGAACAGCCTATTTGGAAATTGGCAAATCGCTCAGTAAACTTGGAAGAGAAGGGCAGGATGTGGAGCAGAGGTGGGTGGGCACCACACTCTGAGGAATGCTTTGTATCCTCCAGAAAGTGGGACTTCTCAAATGCCAGGTCCTTGGTGAGGCACCAGTAGCTCACACCTGTAATCCTAGCTACTTGGCAGGCTGAGATCGGGAGGATCGCAGTTCGAGGCAAAATAGTTCTCGAAAGCCTAATCGCTCTGGTTATTTTAGGGATTTTCCTGATCTCAGCCTCCCAAGTAGCTAGAATTATAGGAGTGAGCCACTCACGCGTCCTGCTAAACAGGTTCTCTTATTTTTTTTATTGTTTTATTGTTCATATGTGCATACAAGGCTTGGGTCAGTTCTCCTCCCTGCCCCCACCCCCTCCCTCTCCCCCCACCCCCTCGATACCCGGCAGAAACTCTTTTGCCCTTATTTCTAATTTTGTTGTAGAGAGAGTATAAGCAATAATAGGAAGGAACAAGGGGTTTTGCTGGTTGAGATAAGCATAGCTATACAGGGCATTGACTCACATTGATTTCCTGTGTGTGTGTTACCTTCTAGGTTAATTCTTTTTGATCTACCCTTTTCTCTAGTTCCTGGTCCCCTTCTCCTATTGGCCTCAGTTGCTTTTAAGGTATCTGCTTTAGTTTCTCTGCGTTGAGGGCAACAAATGCTGTCCTTGTGTGCTCTCGCTTTATCATGTGCTCAAAGTCCAATCCCCTTGTTGTGTTTGTCCTTGATCTAATGTCCACATATGAGGGAGGATTTTTGGTCTTTTGGGCCAGGCTAACCTCACTCAGAATGATGTTCTCCAATTCCATCCATTTACCAGCGAATGATAACATTTCGTTCTTCTTCATGGCTGCATAAAATTCCATTGTGTATAAATACCACATTTTCTTAATCCATTCGTCAGTAGTGGGGCATCTTGGCTGTTTCCATAACTTGGCTATTGTGAATAGTGCCGCAATGAACATGGGTGTGCAGGTGCCTCTGGAGTATAGACAGGTTCTCTTATAATCTTGTGGTCACAGACGTGACAAATGTGGGTGTCAGTAGGCGTCCTGTGTTTTTACCCAGGAAAGGTGTAGAGAGGCTGCAGCAGGAGCTAAGTGGGGGGCAGGGCTCAAGTTTGGAGGGTGGCCTTTGGTTCAAATCCAAGCTCTGCCACTTTCTGGCTGTATGCCTGGTTGCAAAAATGAATTAGCATAGGTTCCTCTGCAATTTTGTGATTAGGTTTATCTTTACCTGAATCCTTGGTGAAATGAAATTCTTGGTGAAGGAGCTTCATAAACAGTAGAATCAGAAGGGCTGTGTGTGTGTGTGTGCGTGTGTGTGCACGCATGTGTGTGGCAGCACTGGGATTTGAACTCAGGGCCTCAAGCTTGCTAGGCAGGCGCTCTACCACTTGAGCCACCCCACCAACCCTTTGTCATGTTAGTTTTTGTTTTATTTTGTTTTTCAAGATAGGGCCTTGCATATTAGTTGCCCAGGCAGGCTTTGAACTGTGATCCTCCTGATCTCTGCCTCCTGAGTAGCTGGGATTACAGGCGTGAGCCCAGCAGGAGCGCTCTATTTTGTGATACCAAAAATCCACACTACAAATCCTACCCAACCTCAGGTATGTATTTCTGTAGGGAGGAGTGTTAGTGTGTTTTGCAAGGAGAGAAGAAATGTCACCTGCTTTTTGTAGACGAGTGCAGAAAGAAGTGTGACAACTGGCCAGAGTGGTTCTCCCCACCACTCCTGGTGATGGGCACATCTGTGTTTACCAAATACCAGGATTTGGAAAAATATGTGTGGACCTGAGAATAATACCACAGTTTGGAGCTAGAATGTGTGTTAAAGGCTTAGTCCTCAAATTGGAACGATTAGGAAATGATGGTGCCTTTAAGAGGTAGAGCCTAGTAGGAGGTCATAGGTCATGGTGGGAATTCAGCCTTTTCCTCTCTCTCTTTTGCTTTGCAGCTGGAGTGAGGAACTCTGTCTCCCACACATTCCCACCTTGATGTACTGCTTCAACACAGGCCCCAAATCATGGTCTGCCTCACGCCTGTAATCCCAGCTACTCCGGAGGAAGAGATCAGGAGGATCAAGGTTCAAGGCCAGCCCAGGCAAATAGTTCGTGAGACCCTATCTCAAAAATACTCAACACACAAAAAAAGGACTGGTGGTGGCTCAAGTGGCAGAGCACCTGCCTAGCAAGCGTGAGGGCTTGAGTTCAAACCTCAGTACCGCCAAAAACATTTAAAAAAAAAAAAAGCATGATTATGAAGTGGAGCTTCCAAAACTCTGAGCCAAAATAAACCTTCTCTCTTTATAAAATGATTGTCTCAGGTATTTCCTTACAATAACAGAAAGCTAACTCACAAATAACAATACAAATGGGCTCTGTAACCACTTAAAGGAATAAAATGCTCCATTTTATTTCCCTCCTCCCCTCCCACCGCTCACCATTCCCTGGACGTTGAGACTAAAGCTTCGTGCTAGCCCTGTTTGCTATTGAGGT